GCCTTATGAACAAAAAAGTGTTGCGACGGAGGGTCAGAGTGTTCTGGAATTTTTATTTTTAAAATTTTGATTGGAAGAAGAACATTTCTGAGAAATAGAAAAAAGACGGCCATTTTGAGTAAAAAAGACGAAAATCAGAACCACGATAGAGATTGTGAAGAACAGTCGAGCAAGAAAGTTACGAAGCCTCTTATCGTGGCAATAACACACGATAAGAACCTTAGAGACGGATATTTGTGGAGAAGGAGGCTTCAGTGGGGGAAGAAATATACTACGGGACCCTCCCGGGACAGGAAAAATAAGAGATAAGAGTGTTATCTCAAGAATATTACGGGAGCGGAGGCTTGGTCCCCCAGAGACTGTCTATGTGAAGGGACTGTGTAAACTGACTATATAGCTGCTATAATGTCATAGATCTTAATTAACACCGTTATTATTTAATATTTCAGAGCATGAGTAGATAGAAAAGGGAAAGGGTCAATCCATCTCCAATGGATTTAATATAAAACTGTCACAAAAAAACATATAAAAATAGGTTGTTCGAGCCGTGTTTTTAATGACAATCACGTAGTCTGAGGATCCGAGACTCAGCTATGTGGTTGTGTTCGCATGTAAACGAAAGCTGATCAAAAGTCGTTTGACTGATGGCCTAAAAATGGTAACTTTTTACTTTGCCCTAGACAGACCAGAAAATCAACTGGCAAGGTCGAGACGGTGAAAAACGAGTAGAATTAAGGTAACTGACGCCTGCCAGTCGTTAACAGGTACTTTTTCTACGCTCCGTCGCTGTGTGATATTTGGGCGAATGTTACATAGACGTTTTTATGGCGCCCCACAAGGGACTCGAACCCCTGACCGAACCCCTGACTCTAAAGAACTAGAGACAGAGGGCGAGAATGCTAAGAAACCACCTTTTGGACGAATCTTTGAATCGTATTTTGATCTACCGAACCATTATTCGAACAATATCGTCATAACGGACAGCGATTTCATACTCACGGAACGCACGTGCGCCATAGCGATAACGGCGGATGTGAGTATGAAATCGCTGTCCGTTATGACGATATTGTTCGAATAATGGTTCGGTAGATCAAAATACGATTCAAAGATTCGTCCAAAAGGTGGTTTCTTAGCATTCTCGCCCTCTGTCTCTAGTTCTCCGGTTTCTCTTGCCGATTTCAATTTTTTTATTATGAGGTTTTCGGTGTGGGTGAGTCCTACCCCCACTCCCCGGACAAAAATATGGCGCTCCTGGGTGGGCCTGTTAAAGGAATGAAACCATCATGATCAGCAAGCGTTTCAGTGACGAACCCTCCGCTCCGGGCGTATGCCCGAGTTAGAGGTCTTACTGACCGTTGTTGTACTAGGGGGAAGGTGCGTACCCTCCGTCTAGTACAATTTAGCTTTTTAACTTAGTTAACACCGAAAATTCCGGGGGCCGGAGGGTTAGGTGGGAAGTCATGAACCCGCTTGTCCCGAGGTCCCCGGACCAAAAACAACTAAAGAGAAAGCGTAAAACCAAACAAAAATAGTGTATAACCAAGAAAAAGCCAAAAACAAATTTATTTAAAAACAAAAAAGTACAAAAAACAGTAAAAAAATCCAAAAAAGACCAAAAACTGTAAAAAACATAAAGTGACAGTTTATATGTTATTTCCGGACAAGATGTGATCTGACCTTCCTATTTGTTGTTGTTTCAGATTGATTTATATCGTTTCTGATAGAAAGATTGTGTGTTTTGGTGAAGGGTTGGATACCCTCCCTCGAGTTGAATTTGAGTGTTTAAGCACGTTAATGGTAATTTTGCCGGTGGCCGGAGGGTAGAGTGGCAAGCTGATCAACGTGTTCCACACTCAAGAGGGACATCAACGACAACATCCGCAACGACTGTTGGGTATCGTTGAAGCAATTTTAGTATCGTTCGGGTACTATTTCATTAAAACTTAAGTGGTGGGGGGCACGATTGGCGCGGTCCGATTGTACCCTCCATCGATTACAAATTTCCGAGTCGTAGTACGTTGGTGCAAAGGAGGGTATAGTACTATTTATTAACGACTATTAATAGATTATTATCCTTATTATATATTACTTATCTCCTATTTAGACCCAAGAAACACCCATTTTTTGTCGAAAATTACCAATTTTCGACCAAACTGTAGACCCCCAAATTTCCGATAGGCAAAAAGCTTTTATATAGAGAGTAGCTACGTAGTTCGATCCCCTTCACTAAAGAAATCGCGTGAGCAAAGACTCAGTAGAAGTTAGAAAAACGAAAATTTTTCGATCAAAATTTTGATAATTTTTTGTATTTTGTCAATCTGTTTTGGGGATCGAGTTTTTGAGTTTTTAGAGTTAGAGCAATAAAATTTTTTGCGTTAGGAGCGTGCTAGCATAACGTGCTCGGTTACTAGAGAAATTTTTGGGTAACCCTCCGAGTAGCTCCGTGGATAGAGCTAACGACTTAAGGTTTGGAAAAGGAAGGAATCGGAGGGTCCAAATTTGATAGTTTTTGGCCAAATTTTTGTTTCTAAACCAATTTTGGTCCGATGTTTTGCATTATTCCAGTGCCGTACAGGGCTGCTACGCTCATTTCAAGTATTTTTAGGCACTTTTGACCGGAATTGCGGAAAAAGTCTTTCAGAACCTATATAGGTGGTGAAAAAGGCCATTTTGACGAACGCGTTTTTGGCGATTTCTCAAAGACTAGTTATCCGATCGGGATAATTTTGGTACCATAAGTCGACGTTTTTGACCACTTTTCCGAATCGCAACCGTTTTTGGGTTGATTATTTCGGAAAAGAAAAATTTTTTAGGATTTGTTGGTTCGGAGGGTCCAAATCACGGGCAACCCTCCGAGCGGCAGAAAATTTTATCAAAACATCTTTTTATTCAACTGGGAAGGTTGACCGTGTCAGCCAACCTAGTTTTAAGTCAGGTAGACCGCTTTCAGAGGCTTTACTGCGGTGATATAACCCTTTTTCTTGATTTTGGGGGAACCCTCCGAAGTGACCCTCCGGAGTCAGCTAAACCCTTTAGCAACCCTCCTTAGTGGAAAATTTCCACGAGATCACCCTAAGAAGTTAAAACAGCTCCCCTGAGAGCTCCTAGCTTGTTTTGATGCTTTTTGAAGCTAGTAGGAGAACCTTCTAAGCGAGATCAAAAAATTTGAAAATTTTGGAGGTACCCTCCGAAGTAACCCTCCGGAGCGTATTAAGCATCTTATTGACCCTCCTTAGTAAGTTTAGGGGGACCCTCCGAAGTAACTTGGGTGATTAAGGTACCCTCCGAAGTAACTTGGGTGATCAAGGCACCCTCCGAGGTAACCCTCCGGAGTGTCTTAAACCTTCAACGATCCTCCTTGTTAGAGACTTGAGTAAACTTTCTGTGGCAATTTGGGAAACGGAAAATATCCATTTAATTAAGATCATATTAGGATATTAGGCGTGCTTATCAGGATCATAAGAACCCATTCTGACCCGGAAATTCGTGATCAACTTTGGATTCTACATTGGGTGTATCAGAAGTACCCGAACAAAGAAATTTTTTTTTTGATTGTGATTTTGGTTGTGTGGTTGCCTTGAGCTACTTAATAGGAAAGTTCGGGCAATCCGGGAACAAATAAAAGAAGACCTCGGTGAGTGTATTAGGCAAATACACACTCACTTGAGAAGAAAAGTTGTTCCCTGCTCTCGTGCACTTGGAGCGTTCCGGGTGTGGGGGAGCTTTTTCCTAGACTTTAGAAATTTTCGATCAGAGGTTGCCTTGAGCTACTTGGTAGGACAGCTCGGGCAATCGCAGGACACTTAAAAGAAGACCTCGGTGGGTGTAATAGGCAGATACACACCCACTTGAGAAGACTGTGTCCTGGGCTTCGTTCTTTCGGATCGTTCCGATTGGGGGAAGTCTTTTTCTTTAAGACTAAGTTTTATTTATCTGTTTCTGAGTCATCACTGCTTTTTATCAAAGATTGTTTAATTTTAACAAAGCAGTGACTTGATAAATTGTGTGGCGATAAATTGATACTGACAAAAGGTCGCTGTCACCTGTAGGATATTCTTATCTGATTATCTACTGTGTTTTGTGTGTCGATTATATCTTGTGGAAACTTAGTGATACTGTTATACTATACAACCGGGTTGAGTTAGCATTATATCAACACTGGGTAGACCCTGTGTGTAACTTTAGCTGAGTCACTAGTTTAGTCGTGAGAGATCTAAGAGACATTTTGAAAGTGACGGAATCGAGTAGACGGCGTTAAGTGATTTAACTAAATCTTGTTTGTGGTACGTTTGCAGTGCCATCAAATTACGAATACTTTCATTTTGTTAAAAACTATGCAGCGCAGGGACTCGCTAGGATCGACTACTAAAATTCCCAAGCTAAGCAAGGGAAGCACGCGGAAGTTTAGAACTAGGCGTAGCCAAACCTCGTTTAGCAGCGCTTCCGACGCGTTTGCTGAAGACGAATCGACTAAAGGTCAACCTGATCTTTCAGTGAGCGAAATGAAACTAAGGAGCGAGAAAAACCTCGATGGCAATCAAAGGCGGAGCGCCGAGGCCGAGCCTGCGAGCGAAACGCTGGTGGATCCCTTTGACGAAGGGGAGCGAACGCTCATTCGACCCGACTTTGAGCCAGATGAGGTCCTCGAACGGGAGGAAGCCGAGAGGACAGAGGAGACCTCGGAGCGTCCCGAGGTCGAACCTCGGGAGGAAGTGTTGTACAGGGGAATGTCCAAATCAGACACTAAGAGCTATAAATGGAGAAAGGAACATTCACATCCGACAAGTGCACACTCATCTTTGGCCAAACAGAGCAACAACGCGATGATGTCGAGTATGAGTCCGGGTGAAGAGCAGACGTTCTCGAAGGCAAAGAAAAGTTGGAAGTCTTTGTACGATGGGCGCGTGACGTCGCTACAAGCCGGAGGTCTATCCTCTAGTTACGGCCAACCGGAAATAACCCATCCGGATGTGAACTTCACACCGTGCCCAAGGAACGACATGAGCAGGGAGGCGTCTTCTGCCTCGCCGACCAGGCCTATGTCAGATGGGATAACGATGGGAGCATCATCAACATTTGACAGACTAATGACGTCAATGCACAAGCAAAAGGGCGGTGCGTCATCGAGTACTAGGCTACATCCACAGTTGACCTCGTCTTCTCTGGGGATAACCCCGCCATTGGGGTCAGCTGGTGACATAAGTGATATGTTCGCTGGTGTGATGAACGGCCTGGATGAATTAAGGCGAGACAAGACTAAGAGGATAGATCAAGTTGACGAGAGAGCTCACCAGCCGAGAGCCTGGCACAGGCAAACAAAGAGTCAGAGGAAAGAGAGGCTAGGATGACAAGAGAGATCGAGCGATTGTTGAATGATCATGATAATACCTACGCCCAAACGATGACTGGCCTGGAAAGGAGGTTGGACGCCAAATCTGACTTGATGATGCGGAAGCTTGACGCGATCCTGAATGGGAGTAGTTGGCAGGAGCGTTCCAACCAAGGGAACGCTCACGCAATGCGAATGTTGGAGATGGTACGGGCAACAGTGCCAGAACCCAGCAAGGCTCGAGAACGAACTACGAACATAGAAACAAGGAGCGGCCAAGGGCAGCCCCGCAGAGGCCTGGCTGGACGAATCCAGTCCCGCCGGAGGCAGATGCCACCCCGGAGACAAGATTGCCAACCGTGCCACAAGTCAGTTCAGTACCAGATCTGACTACAGTCTCACAAGACACAACGATGTATGCCTCGATGTTTGAGCCTCTGAACAGATCTCTTGAAACATTCATCACCAAGCTCTCGAAGTCAACCGAGAGAGGAGAGAGGTCAAGAAGAACACTGAAAAAGCCGAAGTCATATAAAGACGAGTCAGACGGCTGCATTGATACTTGGATAGAGGTGATGAAGTTACACTTTGAGGAGGAGAATCTCTCCAAGAAACAGGAGTGCAGCGCGCTGACAAGCAACCTGGAGGGTACTGCATTAAATTGTGTAATGGCGAAAAGAGCCAATGAGAGAGACAGCGCTCGCAAGATATTCGACATCCTGCTGAATCGTTTCGGCTCTGGAGTACAAGGGCACCAGGCTATGGTGAAGTTCGAGAAGAGGCGTCAGAGAGATGAGAATCAATAGATAAATTCTTGGACGACCTTGAATTGCTCAGGAGGAGAAGCAACCCGAATGAGAGAATATCCGAGCGAAATTTGGCGATTGCTTCGAAGTTTATGGATGGAGTAAGGAGTGAGGAGCTGAAGACGATGTTGGCCACTCATTTCACCCTGTCGCTTGACCAGGTACCCACGCCCGACGACTTGCGTATGAAGTCACGCGAATATTTACTCATAAAACCGAGGGCGCAAAACCGTTACAGCAATTATGGTAACTATAGCGGGACAAACACTGGTGCGAATTCCAGTTGGTACAAACCTCGCGATGACATGGACAAGAGGAGGTCGTGTGCGAATTGTGGTTCGATGGACCACCACGTTTCTGCGTGTTCTGCATACAAGCAGAACATGAAGGCCATAGGCTACTTTCTCGAGGACGCCGACGCGACCGACGAGGATCATGAGGAGTACGTCAGAGGACTTATCATGAAATATGGTCCGAGGTGTTTCTTCTGTAATTTGGAGGGACACTTCAAGTCGGATTGTACTCAATTTTGGGACGCAGTAGCGGACGCGAAGCATCCCCGCCACGAAGAGGCGCTTTCGGGTGTCAAGGCCAGTAGAGCACGTCTGATGAACGAGGCTGAATCTCGGAGAAAGGAAGCGACACCGAGCACCTTTACGACCAAAAAGGTTAGGACATGGCCTGACGAGGTGGTAGCCTCGAACCTCGAAGCAGAGTCGTCTAGTCCACTCAAGGTGGATTACGGCCTGGCGGCAAGGACAGCGCTGCAGAATATCAAACAGGACCTTGCCACGAAAGAAGTGGAGCAATGGGTAAGGTCGGAGCTGGAGAGCACAGATCTTCGGGAAAGTCTTAATGTCCTGGGTAAAACGACAGAAGCAGAAGACAAAGAGGAGCCCAAGAAACAGGGACTAAAACTGAACGTTATATCTGGTAAGACTTTCGGCATGACGAAGGCGGGGACCAAAATAATGTCCATTATCTCAGTCGCAGGGCACCAGGTGGTCAAGAACTTGAGTGAGCCATCCGAGATTACACTAGTCCACCTGGACATCTATGCCGACTACCTGAAGGAGAAGGATCCCAAACTGGACTCCAGGGCAGTGCGAGCGCTGCTCACAACGGGAGGTCCGAGGCTGATGAAAGTGGACGGACATTATATTGATGTCCATGGACCTTAACCGATCCTGATGAATGTGGATGGCATCAATATCTACACGAAAGCTCACATAACTGATGCGAACGATCAGGTTGGCCGGATATACATTGGTCAAGAGGAGCTGAAGGTCAGACGAATCGGACACAACGCGATGCTCGAACAAGATGCGGTGCATATTGGTTGCGAGGCCGATCTGGCCGCACACGTTCTGGACGTGCAAGGCAGACAACTTTCAGTAAAGGGACTGCTAGACACGGGAGCAGTGGTTAGTGTCATGCCAGTCAAAACTTGGACCGACATGGGTTTCGAAAGGTCGGATCTCATACCGACAAACATCAGGTTGGCAGCTGCCAATCAGGGAGCGATCTATGTCGCCGGACGAACCCCGATCATCTCACTGCAGCTCGGAGGAAGACATCTTTGGATGAGCTTCCTAGTAGTAGAGATTTTGGATGAATCCGACCAGTTCATCCTAGGAAGGGATTTTGTTCGCAACTTTGACGTCACCATCGATCTCAATGACGGATTGATTAGGATCAAGGATCCTGAGAGAAAGTATGAGAAAAGACCCCTTAATAAGATCTTAATTAATCAGGCCAAGGTGCCGATCTTTCTGGATCGAAAAGTTAGATTAAAACCGAACCAAGCCGTAGTAGCGACGTTTAGGATGAGGAACTTGAATGAACTCAGCAATGACAGGCAGGTGTGTCTGGTACCAAATCCAAACAGTAAAAGCTCGGCTATTTTAGAAAGAAGCTTCTCACTCACTCAGAGCGGACTGTGTGTGAGTGTGTTATTGAACACAGAAGCAACAACAGTGACAATACAGAGGGGAAAGAAACTTGGCTACGCTTTGCCTCTGAACACAGACTTTCTGAGTGTGGAGAACTTGAAGAAGTTTGATGTAACTAAATGTCCATTGCGTGCGAACCAAGAATGTATAATGAAAAGAGTAAATGAATTGAAATCTTCTAGGAAATTGTTTTCAATGAAGTCGGAAACAGATGATGGGCTGTCTAGTTGTTCCAACTTTCCTGAGAGGCCGACGGAGGCAGAGTTAGCAGCGAATAAGCCTGTCCTACCTGAGATAGAACATCTGAAGGGTAAAATATCAGACAAGGAACTAGATTCGCTCAGGGCGGTGCTAAATCGGAACGCAGACGTTTTTTCGAAACATAAGGCCGACATAGGTTGTTGCATTTTTGTAGAGCACGAGATTGAGATAGAAGAGGGCTCGGTACCTCATAGGGAAGGTCCCGAAGCGGTTGAAGCGGTGCTGACCTGGAAGGCACCTAAAACAGACACACAGCTGATGAGTTTTCTGGGATTCGCAAATTATTATCGAGAGTTCATCAAGGGGTATGCTGATAAAATATACCCCATGCAGAGGTTGATGAGAAACAAGGGCAAAAAGTTCACCTGGACTGATGAGGCACAAGTCTCATTTGAAAACATCAAACGTGAACTTTGCGAGGCACCGGTCCTCGGCATGCCAACAGAGAAGGGGATGTTCGTGCTGGACACGGATGCATCAGTGGTTGCGATATCGGGCATACTTCACCAGGAGCAGGAGTGGAACGGGAGAACGGTTCTTCGTCCGATAGCCTACGGGAGTAAAGTCCTGAGTGATACTGAACTGAAGTACGGCGCGCCAAAAGCGGAGATGTTTGCGGAGATCACTTTCGTGGAAAAATACAGGGCCTACTTGGGGAGTGCTCCCTTCAAGTTACGTGTGGATAATCGAGCCCTCGCCTGGCTGAAAACCTATTCGATTGACCAAAGCTACATTGGTCGTTGGATCGTGCGCCTGGATGGATACCACATGATCATAGAGCACCGTACTCGTGACAAGCACCAGAACGCAGATAGCCTCAGTAAAAAGACAGAATTTTATGAGCGCCTCGAGGAGAAACAGGCTAACCAATCAGAGATCAAAGACGGGTTTTCCTTTCTGGACAAGGAAACCTACGACGAGCTGCCACTTACTAGGTGGTTAGACAAGTCAGGGCATCCGATACCTGGACACCCTGACCTTCCAGTGGAGACGGCCGCGGAGATAAAGCTTTTAGCCAGAGGCGAGCCCGTTCCGTTGGATCTGCTAGTCCGATCCAACTTGGTACATCAAGAACTAACCAGGCTGGGTATAAACAGCATGGCTCTATTGAACAAGACGGTGAACGTGGCGCCGGATGTCATGAGAAAACTCCGTGACTTGCTGGACAGGGAAGTGGATAGGCATGATCGTGAATGGATGGAGACCATGCAGCGGTTGACTGTCACCGAGAGAACAGAGAAGAGGCCAGTGTCCATTCGCAGCCGAGGCGTTGAACGGGATTGCAGGTCGATTGTCAACCAGCTGGTGAGCTCGATGCCGAAGGAGGTCTTGTTGAGAACTTCGTTCACTGAATATGGAACACTGAATCAGAACCAAACTACTGAGGAAGTCAGGATCAGGTCGAAATCTAGCTTCACGAGGAGAGTGCATTTCACGGATGCAAAAGAAGAATACGAGCCGAGCCCAGATTGTTCGTCCGTGGACGAGACAATGTCCGGGGAGTCTGATACCTTCGAGCCAGTCAAAGACGACTCGTCTGAGGAGTCAGACACCTTTGAGCCCGTGCAGGACGACTTGTCCGGGGAGAGGTTGACGAGACCACCTAGGGGCAAAATCTTGTCCGGGGAGTCGGGTTTGAAGCGACAGATGGACAGAGTTTTGTCCGGGGAGTCGAGAAACATCTCAGACAACTTGGAATATGATGTTGAGGAATCAGTCGACTCACGTGTTGACTCGAAACACCAGTCCTGGGACAACACGTCTGAAACAGCTTCCAACTCCGATATGTCAGAGATCGCGATCCACTCCTTATTGGTAGACTGGAAGAAGCGTGGGCTGGACCGAGAAACACATCAGGATCCAGACAGGGACAGATACACCTCAGATGAAGAGGGCACTGTGGTAGATAATGCTGCAGACGAACTCGAGCTGATAGCAGTTTTGAAACGCCCAACCAGATTGCTGCCACATGGT